GGGAGTTATCCATAGCACTCAGTCATTATGCTTCTTTACTCTTTTATAATATTTTTCAATATTAGCATAGCCACACCTGACCAGGTATAGAAATATGCAGTAAACTTTCCCAGTATGGCCGGCAATCAGTGGTTCATGCCTGTAAACGCAGCACTTTAGGAGGTCAAGGTGGGAGGATCACGTGAGACCAGAAGTTCAAGACCAACCTGGGCAGCATAGCAAGACTCCATCTCCACCAAAAATTTAAAAATTAGCCAGCATGGTAGCCTATGCCTGTAGCCTTAACTACTAGGGAAGATCGCTTGAGCCCAAGAGTTTGAGGCTGCAGTGACTTATGATCATGTTGCAACACTCCACCCTGGACAACAGAGCGTGACTCTGTTTCAGGAAAAAACATCCCCCGTATACCCTTACAAAATACAAGGTTTGGGCTGCAAATTGGCAATCCCTGCAACTTCATGCTGACTTCACCTTGATAGTGACCTCACCTTCCCTAGGAAATGTTCCAGTCTTTCCTCCCTCTTTAGGTCATGGTCCAGCTCCTTCTGGAATCCTGGGTAATCTTAGCAGAGCAAGGCGATGCTTGCTTATCATTGTCAGGTCTTAGCATGAACAGAGCAAGAGAAAGAAAGATGAGAAATCACCCCCAAGGGGCCCTGGTGGAGGGCTGCCTGCCCAGCCTGCTCACGGCTACTCTGTGTTATTGTCCACATTAAGGCTGTGTGGCTCTACGGCCCCACCCAAGGCCTCCCCACATGTTAAGCTGGGAGTGGAGTGTTTCCCAGTATAACACCTAAGGACAGCAGGGTGTGCACCAAGCAAAAACGGCTCACAGGTTGTGTCATTGGACCCAAAAGTTTCATTTTTCAGAGTTCCAGCTTGTCCCTGTGAAAAAGACACTTGAACACATTGACTGGTTAGAAGCAGTCAGTGGGTGGTCTCCTTCCACCCAGGCCACACCACCGCTGGACACTGACAAAAATAGAGCAGAGTGGTTGTTCCCAAGACGTGGGGAGGGTGCCCCTGACCCATTCACCTTCTCTCACTAAAGGCACATATTTTGCATTTCAGATTCTTAGGGTTAAAAATGTGACCCATGGCACACACCTGTAGTCTCAGCTACTTGAGAGGCTGAGGCAGGAGTTTGGGTCCAGCCTGGGCAACATAGCGAGACCCTGCCTCTTAAAAAAAGTGACCTGTGACCACAAGGCCAGCCAGGAGAAAGCAGGGGAACATAGAAGATGCCAGGGAAAGTCAGGCATCTATAGGCCCTGCTAGAGCACCGTAGGTGGTAAGCCTCATTTTGGACACGCCTGGCTGCCCCAGTGCCCATCTGTGGGGAATGTCCTCCCCTGCTTCCAGGATCAGCTCACCTGTCCCATCCTCAGGGCCTCCCTGACCTTTTAGCTGAGGCCCCTACAGTGTTCTTCCTACCCTCTGTGCTCCCCTTCTTTTTGCTTTTGTTTTTTTGAGACAGAGTCTTGCTTTGCTGCCTAGGCTAGAGTGCAGTGGCATCACCATCACTCACTGGAACCTCACACTCCTAGGCTCAAGCAGTCCTGCCTTAGCCTCCCGAGTAGCTGAGGCTATGAGTATGAACCCGCTGTGCCCTGCTGATTTTTCTGGGTTATTGTTTGTTTGTTTGTTTTATAGAGACGAGGGTCTTGCTTCTGCTCAGGCAGGTCTCAAACTCCTGACCTCAAACTACCCTCGTTCCCAGCCTCCCCAAGGGCTGATTTCAGGTCACGCTCACCCCCTTTTGTGCTGCCATGACCACTTGTTTTATAGTCCATCTCCTATTAGACTGAACCCCTGAGGACACTGGGTCCCGTATGCCTGGCTTGTGGCTTTTTCTCAATGCCAGGCAAAAGGTCTGGTGACAAGTTGGCCCTTAGAGAAGACAGGGGTGGGAGCAGTATTGACCCATACTGCTGTCTCCCCAACTACTTGCCCATTTGCTCCTTCTCTTCTTTAGTGCTGATAGGGTACATGGTGGGCTTTAGAGTATGGCTGAGACCATCACTCATATGCTCATACAGCTGGGTGTAGCCTTCTTAATCTCCCAGCAGAATCCCTTCCATGTACAGATTGGGCATCCAGAGAGTGCAGAAAGAGTCCCCAGGTTACCTGGCTGAGCAGTAGCAAGCTGCTGATCCAATGCATGGCAGCAGGGTTGCCACCCAGGGAGCGGTCTGACACCTGTGCATGGGCTGCCACTGTCTCAGCCTCTGGGCACCAGGGAGCTCAGGGGTCTGTTGGATATTTGCAACACAAACCACTTCTGCCTCCAGGGCTCCAAACTCACCAGATGCTCTGGAGTCGGCTGAGTCAGAGGAGGAGGTGGATGAGCTGTCCCTCATTGACCACAGCGAGATTATGGCCAGACTGACACTGAAGCAAGAGGTGAGGACTCCCAAGGAGGGAGAGCAAGGAAGGTCAAGCAGAGTGTGACCTTGAGGTGTCGTAAGCAGAGAGGTCTAAGCCAGGCATGGAGACCAAGTCTCTCAGTGCCCAGCTCTGGGCTCCCAAAGGGGTGAGTACCAGGGGAAGTGCACTGTCCCCTTCTCTGAGTGCTTCTGGAAAGTGATCTTGGCTATGTTACCTGGAACCTCTATGCCTCAAGTGATAGGACCCCTGAGGGTGTTCTGCGGATAAAATCTGTGAGTGCTAGCACAGAGTCTGCATGTGGTAAGCCCTGGCCTATGCAGGACAGTTTTATGTTGTTGGTAAAATAGCCTCCGTGTAGGCTCAGCTTGGGAGACACCAGCTGATTAAGAAAATTCAGGCCTGTACACTGTGGCTACCTTCATCCTGCACCATCCTGTTCTCGGTGGTGAGAACACTGCCCAAACCGTCACAGTAAGAGGAAGGTGGGCCGAGAGCACTTTCCTCTCCCTGTGCACTTCTGGAAATGCAAAGAAACAGCTCCATACATAGCCCCGACCCCAAGGAAGGTGACTACATTTCTGGGCTTTGAGCTGATGATAGTTACTCACACAGAGACAAAAATACAGATGCTGCCCTTTGCCTGCTCCTGGGCCAGGCTGAGCCAGCTCTGGCTGTGGCAGGGAGTGGCCCAGGGTGTGTCTGCACCTGGGCTGTCAGGGTGCTCAGACAGCCAGGCTTAGAGAAGTGAGAAGCTGCCTTGGGGGGGCTGCCCTACTTCTGCAGAGAGAAGTGACATCTCACAATCTTTTCCATAAATTTATTCCAGAAAAGCATGTCAGAGGCATAACCCCCTACCTCCAGAAGTAAATCCAGGTGCAACACTCTTGAGACCCTGGAGTTGAGTAAAACACCAAAGCTCTAAAAATACTGGGAGTCTTAGGGTGTGCACTGCAGCAAGCAGGGCTTGGGGGTTAGTTCCGCCCCTGTAGAGTACGGAGTGAGGGGGTCTTTGTCCTGGACCTGGTTTCGGGACCCCTGTGACAATTGTTTTTAGCCCCAGGCCAGGTGGTTAAAGCCCTGCTTGCCCTCCTGGAAACAGACTTGCTCCTTAATTGTCAGGTGGGGGTTAATGGTCATGTAAGTGGCATTGGATGTCTTTGAATGTCTCTGTGACATTTACACCCCCTAACGAAGAGCTGCCTGCAAGAATCTAAGTGACCTGTACTTCTGCTTGGGTAAAAGGGTTTACACTTGGGACAGCTAGCTGCAGTGTGGGAATATTAACACAGAAATACAGTCCTACTGCCTCCATAGGCATCTGGGAGGTGATTGTCCCACCGACCCCCCCATGGGGTCCCACTGTCCTCCACCCATGAGGACTTCCACCTCACCTCTGGCTCATGGGTTGGTTAGCAAGGGAAAGTCAAATGACAGTTTTCCCTGACCCAGATTTGTCCTCAAAGCAGTGATGTGTCCTGTGCCCACAATGCCTGGGCAGCTCCTAGACGCAGTTCAGTCTGGGCCTGTGGCCAAGCGGGGGCATTAAGCTGCAGGGGCGCCCCTGGAATCCCAGCAGGACCACGTGTAGCACAGCCTCTCTGTCTTTGCATCCCTAACTTGCTTTCTTAAGGCCATGCCCTGCCTCATGCCCTCTTTGGCTGTTTTGATTACAGGGTGATGACGGGCCAGATGTCCGTGGAGGATCTGGGGACATCTTACTGGTCCATGCTACGGAGACAGATAGGAAAGGTAGGGCAGCCCTCCCCACGGCAGCTTTGTCAGCAGGGCTCCCTCCAGCCCAGCTCCCTGTGCCCTGACTCTGCACCGCTGCCCCTCCCTCTAGACTTGGTGTTGTACTGCGAGGCCTTCCTGACCACCTATAGGACCTTCATCACGCCCGAGGAGCTCATCAAGAAGCTGCAGTACAGATATCCTTTCCCAGGCTGGCTGTAGCATCCTCCTACCATGCAGCCCCAGAAGCCACCCTTGGTAAATGTCACTCTGTGCAATAGTGGCCAGGCAAGCCCCCAGAGGCGTGGAAGGAGCCACTTTTGTTGCCTGGTGCCTCTTCAAGTCCGCCCCTGCTGGTGCTCTAGAGCTCACCTGCAGCAACTGTGTCAGGAGGGCAGCCCGTGACCGCCATCTGCTGGCAGCTGCCGCCAGTACGGTCTTGCAGCCTCTCCCTCCCCTGCCTGCTGCCCTGAGGGCCCACCCACCACCCACCCACCCCATCCTTCCTCACTCAGACCTCCTAGCTGTGGCCCTTAGAATGCCTGCATGTCAAGACAGGTATGAACATTTCCCACAGGCAGGACTCACGTACCCTGACACGTTCTGTCATTCATAGCACTGTTCATAGACCTGGCTCAGCAAATGACAGTCACTTGCACATTGAGAACTTACTAGTCAGGCACGTGTGACAGCAACAGTAAGACTGCCGCATGCAATTGAGTAAACCAAGGGATGAAGGATCTGATGACCCATGTGGCTGCTTGGTGGGAGCACCCCCCACCTCAGCCTCCAGTGCTCAGGCTCTCAGCCTCCCAGCCTCTGTCCTGCTTGGCCACTTCAGGCACATTCATGGCATCAAGCTCTGGACCTGTTTGGCTGGCAAACCCCCATGCCCAGCAGGCTACCTCTACAGTGACACTCCATTGCAACCCCAGGATGTGGAAGCTCATGGGTCACTGGAAAGCAGGCAGGACGGAGTCAGTGAGGGTCTAGAGAGTCAATGGCAAGCAGGAAAGCAAGGCAGGAAACCACTACCTCCAACTTCAGATACAAATGAGAGCTGGCTGAGGGTTTGAAGGCCACCGTGGGGACGAGGAGCAGTCTGGAGTGTGCTGCTGATACCTTGCCTGGTATCAGAAAAGAAAGAGCCAAAAAAAAAAAAAAAAAAGAAAGAAAAGCAAGAACTGCCTGGGAGGTTGTTGAAGCTACAGCTGCCGCATAACCCAGAGAGGCAGTCTCTGGTGGAAGCTCACAGAAAGCGGAGAGAGACACTACCGTAGGCTTGCATGTCTCCCAGGGGCCTTGGGTTTGGGACCACCTTCTCTCCCTGAGGCTCAGCAGGGCATCCTGCAGGGGAGCAGGGAAGCAGGACAGTCCCTAGGTTGGCACTCAGGCTCCAGCCTTGGCTTTGCAGCTCTGCCACTTTGCACAAGCATTGTGCCTGTGTTTCCGGACGCTAATGCTTCACTGCAGGGTCCCTGGCACATGGTAAACACTCAGTAAATGGAAGCTAGAAGCAGTCCCCCACTTACATCCCCCACCCCAACGTGGCTATCTCTTTAACCCGCGGTCTACATACGAGAAGTTCTCTCCCTTCGCGGACACGTTCAAGAAGCGCGTCAGCAAGAACACGTTCTTTGTGCTGGTCCGGGTGGTGGACGAGCTCTGGTGAGTGCTGGGTGAGCCTCGGGGGGCTCGCCCTCCTGCCTTTCCCAGGGGTGTGCTCTGGCTGAGCGCAGAGCTCTGGTCAGGGCTGGCTCCTGCCTGTTTTACCAGCGCCCTTTGAGAGAATGATCTGCCCCATAGGCCAGGATGAGGTACCTCTCCAGCCCCAGCCCAGGCCCTGAATTTCCCTCAGGAGAGGAGCCTGCACCACCCAGAACCATCCCTCCTGCCAGTGTCTAAGGACCTGTCGCGCCCCCCCACCCCACCCCCACCCCCCGGCTGTGCTCTCAGCCACCACTGCATTTCTGTGGCTGGCTGATTCTCTGACACATCACTTGCCATTTTCATTGATTTAAGAAATATCTGTCAGGATAGCACCTGTGCTCAGTGTGTAGGACGCCAACCCCATATACCGACAGTGGCAGGTTCAAACCCGGCCCCGGCAAAACTGCAACAAAAAAACGACAGCCAGGCATTGTGGCAGGTACTTGTAGTCCCAGCTACTCTGGAGGCTAAGGCAAGACAATCGCCTAAGCCCAGGAGTTGGAGGTTGCTGTGAGCAGTGTAACACCACGGCACTTTACCAAGGATGACAAAGTGAGTCTCTGTCTCTACAGAAAAAAAAAAAAAAAGAAAAGAAAAGAAAGAAAAATATCCATCAAACAGCTCTTTGCTGGGTGTGGAGAGCAAGAGGTGAAAAGGAACAAATGGAGTCCCTACCTTCTCCTGGGGGTGACGGCCACAGTCAGGGCCTACACAATTGGGAAATGGCCATGCTGTGGACGGTTCTCAAGGGGGTTGGTTCATGAGCTTCCCCCAGGGTAGGATTTGTGTGGGATTTCTCTCTGGAACCCAGTCCCAGAGACAAATCCCACATTCCCAGCATAGTCCCTGGCTCTTGTCCAGCACCATCAAGTGTGATCAGCAGGTGTGTGCTGCCACTGAGACCACACCCAGCTCTTCTGAGGGTGCATGCTCACTGATCACTGCCCCGGGCCCTTGGTGTCTGGAGGTGGACTCCAGATCTCCCAGGGCCTTGCTCCTCCCTCACCTGCTCCTTGGCCCTTAGCCTCGTGGAGCTGACAGAGGACATCTTGAGGCTGCTGATGGAGCTGGTCTTCCGCCTGGTGTGCAGTGGAGAGCTCAGCCTGGCTCGTGTGCTCCGTAAGAACATCCTGGACAAGGTGGACCAGAAGAAGCTGCTCAGGTGTGCCAACTCCGACCAGCCCCTGGCAGCCAGGGGGGTGGCAGCCAGGTAAGGAGCAGCTTCCCCAGCCTCCACCACTTCTGCCAAGAGCTGTGCCCAGAGCCACTTCACTGTGGCACTTTCCTCAGGTTATCTTCCCCCTGACGCCCCACAGCCTCACATCCTGGTTCTGCCAAGGCCCTGGACAGCCCCGGTGCCTCCAGGACAGCCCCGTGGGTCCCCTGTGACTAGGCTTCTTCTCTAGGAGATGTGTGTTGGGTGCTGAGTTGCCTTGTCACCAAAATGTAGGGCACATGGGGCATCAGAGGACAGAAGTAGAGGAAGGTGTCCCTTCCCACACTAACGTGCCTCCAGGCTGCTGCCTACCCCTCCCCAGCCCAGAGGTGATTTCAGTTCCTACTGCAGGTATCTGTGGATTCCTGGGCTCCTTCCTCGTGAGTGTTTAGCCTTCACTTAGAAGGCACCATCCCGGCTCAGCGCCTATAGCTCAACCGGCTAAGGCACCAGCCACGTACACCTAAGGTGGCGGGTTCAAATCCCCAGCCCGGGCCCAAACAACAATGATGGCTGCAACCAAAAGATAGCCAGGTGTTGTGGCGGGCGCCTGTGGTCCCAGCTACTTGGGAGGCAGAGGCAGGAGACTCGCTTGAGCCCAGGAGTTGGAGGTTGCTATGAGCTGTAATGCCACGGCACTCTACCCAGGGGGACAGCTTGAGGCTCTGTCTCAAAAAAAAAAAAAAAAAAAAAGAAGGCACCATCTCATTCTCACTGGCCACCTGGAAGTGGGGCTGGGCTGTGACAGTTCAGGCCTCTAAACTGTCCTTGAGCTAACGGGAAACACTGAACATGCCCAGCGGAGGCAGGAGGGCAGGGCAGACAGCACCATCCTGGGGGAAAACATGTGGCCCAGAGGGACCCAAGGAGAGGCTGGTCCTGTGGCCTCTGCGCTCTGGCAGTGCACCCAGAACCTGCTCAGCTCACTGACCACTGTCCCACCCCTGACAGCTCTTCTCTGACCTCTGTCTTCTAGGCCAGGGACCTTGCATGATTTTCACAGCCATGAAATAGCTGAACAGCTGACCCTGCTGGATGCTGAACTCTTCTATAAAATAGAGGTGTGGTATGGGGTGGGGCTGGGGCCCAGGGAGCCACTGCTGGTTGTCTCTGAATGGGAGACCCCCCCACCTGCCCCACCATGGGACAGCCCAGGCTCCACCTCTAGTCAGTGTCTTTCCTTTTGCAGATTCCTGAGGTTTTGCTTTGGGCAAAAGAGCAGAATGAGGAGAAGAGCCCCAACTTGACCCAGTTCACAGAGCACTTCAACAACATGTCCTACTGGTAAGCAGGGGCCACAGCACCAAGCCATGTGGCTCTAGATGGTGGCACACTCAGTGAGTGTGGTGTTTTCCTTTTCAAAGAGCTTGAGGGACAAGGAGGAACTGCTGCTTCTAGTCCTTTGGGAGCCTTGTGGGCACTCACCATGAACAAGGGCAGGGACAGGATGGGGCTCATTGGAAGTGGCCCCCAGAGGGCTGATTGCAGAGGCTCAGCAGGAATGAGTGCAGGATCGATTAGTCATGTCTGCCATAGCCAGTCGGGGGTTGCTGGGGCACTGTGCACACTGACTATGCCAGATGGAACAGTTAGCAAAAGAATGGGCTCTGTTAGCCTTTAATTCTTACAGCAAAATAAATCCTGACAGTGTGTTTATAATTCAGAAGTCAGAACTTTTGGTTCTTTGAGATGTGACTCTAGGTGCCCACAGCATCTCAGCATCAAACAGAGCAAGGCACACGTGCTGAGACTGGTACTGTACATGGCACAAGTGAGACTGGCTGGCAAAAGTGGCCTCTACATCAAGAACCAGCTGGTCTTCCCAAGTTAATCCTGAGCACATGTGAAGAACTGTCCCAGCCCCAGTGGTGCTCAGGTGGCACTTGCTGGGAAAGGCTCTGCCTTGATCCTCCCGAGGATCAAGTCCTCCTCCACCTACAAATCAGAGGGCCCTGTTGGTGGTGTTTTCTTTGTTTCTTGTCTCTGTCCCTGGGGTGCTATGAGCTCCTTGAGAGCAGAGACAAGGGCCTCACAAGCCCTAGGTATTCACCAGGTATGCTGGTGTGGGGGAGGTGCGGGTCCCCTCTCCAGCAGGACCACCTGGGGCCTGTAGGAACAGGGGTCAGCTCAGCTGTTTCCTCTTTTTCCCTTGGTCCATGCAGGGTGCGGTCAATAATCATGTTACAGGAAAAGGCTCAGGACAGGGAACGGCTGCTCTTGAAGTTCATCAAGATCATGAAGGTAACAGAGACTGAGCCTTGCCCAGAGCACCCCCTGCAATCCCTGTGGGGGGCCTGGAACCTGCTCCCTGCCACCTGCTCTCAGCAGCTGCACCTCTCTCCACAGCACTTACGGAAACTGAATAACTTCAACTCCTACCTGGCCATCCTCTCGGCACTGGACTCAGCACCCATCCGCAGGCTGGAGTGGCAGAAACAGACCTCAGAGGTAAGTGGCCTTCGTGACATGAGTAGGAAGGAAGCCAACCCTTGGCCGATGGCTGTGGCAGAATGTGCTTAGACTGGTGTGGGTGCTGGAGCTCAGGTGCCTGCTCTGCCACCAACCTGTGGTGTGGCCAGGACAACTGCCCAACCTGCCTCAGCTTCCTTCTCTGATCTCCACTCACCATGTCCTAGGGGGCTTCAAGGTTGGTTCTGAGGCTGTCGTGTCATGGCATCCTATTGGCCCCCCAAGCCTATTCCTGGGTCCCAGCTTCATCTTGGTCCTTCCTTGGCCCATCCTTCTGAATAGGCCATTCTGGGAGCAGCTGACATCCTATTGTGTGGGTTTCTGCAGGGTGGGTGCTTAAAGAAGACAGATGGGCTGAGGGGCAAGCTACTAGACCAGTGTGCCAGTCTGGAGGAAATGTCCTACATGCCACCACTACAGGGAGGAGGAGCTTCCTAAGAAGGGAAGAAAATTTCCATCCAAGAGGACAGAGCCCAGGACAGCCTGGGGGCAGGGGGGTGGTGTCCTCAGGGATCAGGGCCAAGTCTAGGATGGCCACATTAGGAGAAGGGGGCCAGCTGTAGGTGAGGAGGGCCTCAAGGGGCCCGGTGAGAAACTGGAATCTTTGGGGGGGGATTTTGTTATAGGATCTTGTTCCATTGCCTAGGCTAGAGTGCAGTGGCATTATAACTCACTGCAACTTCAAATTCTCAAACTCCTGCACTTGGGGGTTCCTTCTGCCTCAGCCTCCCTACTAGCTGAGACTATAGGCATGTGCCACCACACCTGACTAATTTTTATATTTTTTATAAAGATGAGGGTCTTACGGGTGGCACCTGTGGCTCAAGGAGTAGGGCGCCAGCCCCATATACTGGGGGTGGCAGGTTTAAGCCCAGCCCCAGCCAAAAACTGCAAAAAAAAAAAAAAAGAGGGTCTCACTGTGTTGTTCCGGCTGGTCTGGAACTCCTGGCCTCTAGTAATCCTCCCGCTTCAGCCTCCCAAAGTGCTAGCATTACAGGCATGAGCCTCTACACCTGACCTGGAGTTGAACCTTTATCCTTGTGTGAAGAAATGTTCTTGAGAAGGGCACCAAAGCCCACACACAGCTTTGAGTGTCAGCCAGGTCACCTGGGGGGCCTCTCAGTGTAAGTAAAGGGACAATTATGGAACAATGTTGCAGGAGATTCAGTCCAGTGACACAAGAACACCTGAGAGGGCCTGAGGAGTTAGGGAGGCTTCCTAGAGGAGGTGACACTTCAGTATGAGACAAGATAAGAGCATTCTGAGCCAGGAGCAGGGATGGCTGAATTTCCCAGGCAAGAACCTCACAAAAAGATTCCAATTCCTCACCAGGAGTTGGAGTTCAGGGATGAGAAGCAGCTCAGCCCTGATGGAGCTGGAGGTCACAATCCATCCCTGATTGCACCTGAGTTGTGGTGAGAGCAAAGGCAGCTCTGAGAAGGGGCGACTTGGTTCAGTGCATGTTTTAGGAGCAGGCGCCCTGTCTTCCAGGGTCCCACACACAGTGGGAAATGGGTGCTCAGGGCTAACTTTACCAAATACAAGCCCTGTGGTGTGATGGGCTTGCAGTTTCCCTGTGACTGGGGTTTGGCTGATTTAAAAAGACTAAATTGCAGTTAATGTCACAGTGGGGCAGGGGAGACTAGACAGAAAAGGAAGGAGAGGGTGTGGGCAAGGAAAAAAAAAGAAAAGAATGACTAATTGGGCAGTGCCTGTGGCTCAATGAGTAGGGCACCAACTCCATATACCAGAGGTGGTGGGTTCAAACCCGTCCCCAGCCAAAAACTGCAAAAGAAAAAGAAAAGAAAATAGTGACTAATTCTCATGTAAATTGTATTTAATTTTAACCAAAGTATATTACTTAAACATTAATTTTTAATTCAACATGTTAGTATGTTATTTATCATGTTGCATCCTCATTTATAAGTGAAATATGTTTGTAATTTCCCCTTTATAATAATATATTTTCTCCAATTTTAACAGCAGGTGTATCCAGATTAAGTACAATGATTTTGCAGTATTTTTCTATTGTTTATAAGATTTGGCATGATCTATTTTTTTTTAATTATCTTTTACTTTTATTTATAAACATTAGTTGTCTATTTTTTTGAGACTTTGGAAAAAACAAAATAAGAAGTTAACTGATCAAAGTATTCTATTATTACTATTATTATTGCTTAATATTTCGTTGCAACAATCATCTGATTTCTTTTCTGAATGTATTTATCTTCATTTGTTCTTTATGAGATTTTTGTTCTCAGTCCTTATGTTAAATATTGTTGTTGTCACTAAATTTAGCCTTTTAATTCTGTGAAGGCAAAAGTGGAAACCTAATATACACATGTATAAGTAGGAAAAAAAAAAGACTAAACTGGACTTGGCGCCTGTAGCTCAGCAGCTAGAGCGCCAGCCACATAGACCAGAACCAGTGGGTTCGAATCCAGCCCGGGCTGGCCAAACAACAATGAGAACTAGAACCAAAAAATAGCTGGACGTTGTGGTGGGCACCTGTAGTCCCAGATACTAAGGAGGCTGAGGCAAGAGAATTACTTAAACCAAACAGTTTGAGGTTGCTGTGAGCTATGACATCACAGCACTCTACCAAGGGCAACATAGTGAGACTGTCTCAAAAAATAAAATAAAATAAAAAATAAAAAGACTAAACTCTCCCAGCCAGAGACAAGAGCCCACGTTCACATGTTGTGAGTACCCTGTCCATGTGGACAGAGGGGACAGACAAGTTGGGCAGCATGGAGGGCCGGGCTCTGCCCCGGCAGTGTTCCCATGCTCACTAACCCTGCCCTGTCCTGCAGGGCCTGGCTGAGTACTGCACGCTCATTGACAGCTCGTCCTCTTTCCGGGCCTACCGGGCTGCCCTCTCAGAGGTGGAGCCTCCATGCATCCCTTACCTGTGAGTAGCACCCTGGCCCTTTGCCTCTCACCTGCTCTGGGGAAAACACATCAGGCTTTCTCAGAGAAAGCCTCATATAGGGTTTCCAGCTTGACATTTGTATGAATGCTTCTGTTTTACTTTTCACTTGTAACTGTAAAAGTAAAATATGCTCCTCATAACAGAAGACAGGGTCAAGAACAAAAGTTCTCCTTCCCCGTCTCCCAACCCCTCTCCTGTTGCATTCTGTAGCTGCCAGTGAGCTCATGCAGGCACGCTGGTGACAGACATGTGGCCCCAGCCCGCATGGCATCATGCAAATATTCTCGTGCCCTTCATGCCCAGCCACATCTAGAACCACCTGCACAGGTGGCCATTCCAGGACCCCTGAGAGCACTTTTTGTGAACAAGTCCAGGAAGTGCTTCCTGAGTACATGTGTAGGCTGGAGGAAATAGGTTCCATAGAAAGAGAAAATGCAGGAAAGTCAAAGCCACATAGGTTTCTTTGATTATCAGACCCCTTTAAAACATCAGAGGACATTGGGACTCTCCAGAAGGAGAACAGAAGACTCGGCAGTGTCCTGGGGCCGGGTTGGGGCTGCCCTCATGGCCTTCGCCTGCAGGGACAGAAATCCCACAGTCTCACCTTCTGCCTTCCTGCCCTCACTCAGTACCTCAAGCTTTCCCCTCACAGACCCACCTCGGGGCCCTGCAGCGAGTCCTCCCTGAGTCCCCCATCTTCTCTCCTGTGGTATTAGGGCCTCCGTATTCAGAAGCATCTGTTAACACAGGGTCTCCACCCCCCGTATTTGGGGTTTGGTTTGGGTTTTTTCCCTGTTCATTATCAACACCAGCAACCAACAGTTCTGCTCACGTGCTGCTGCACACGGCTCACTGGCAGGCTTGGGTGGGATGTCCGGGCCCTGAGCTGGCTTCCGAGGGATCCAGAGATGGCAAGGCGGGAAGTGGCTCCAGAGAAAACAGACATCCAGAGTCATCTTCAGTTGGCTTCGAGGTTTTGGCAGCTGCGCAGCCAGCGTCACTATCAGGCACTGGCCTCTGGGTGAACTGGCTGCCTTGGGAGTTGCTCTCCACCACAGTGACAGGGCTTCTTACTGTCCTCCCAGGGGGCTGATCCTGCAGGACCTGACCTTCGTCCACCTGGGAAACCCAGACTATATCGATGGGAAGGTGAACTTCTCCAAGCGATGGCAGCAGTTCAACATCCTGGACAGCATGCGGTGCTTCCAGCAGGCGTGAGTGCCTCTGCCAGGCGGGTGGGTCTGAGCCCTCCCAGATGCCAGGAGAGACCCCAGGGGCCCTGAGCGGAGGGCAGGCCACAGAGAACCAAATGACCCTCCCCTCCATCTGTTGGTCTGTTTTTATCAGAATGACATGAGAAAGTCCATGCCTGGCCCTGGGGTTAAGCCCAGTGATGCCACCAGCTTGTCCTTCCATCGCACACACCAGGCAGCAGGCACCCACCTTGCTGTGAGAAGAAAGCCGGCAAACCTGGGCCTGCCTGAGCCAGGAGTTTGGGGGGCGGGGGGAGTGCCTGGGCCACCATGGAGGGGACCAGGCTTCTGCAGCCCTTGCTGGTGTCACCGGGCTCACCCTGTGTGCTGGGGTGCTGGCTCTTAGCACTGGTGTCCTCCACTGTCCCAGGGAGTAATAGCAGCCCATCAGTTTGTTGTGAGGGATGGCCCATGTGGTGCCCACACTGGCCCTCATGGTCTGCCCCCTGTCCTCTACACAGGCATTACGACATCCGGAGAAACGATGACATCATAAACTTCTTCAATGACTTCAGTGACCACCTGGCTGAGGAGGCCCTATGGGAACTCTCTCTGAAAATCAAACCCAGGAACATAACCAGAAGAAAAACAGATCGGGAAGAGAAGACCTAGGAGAAGGCTCTGGATAAAGACGCATGCTTGGGGCACAGAATGGCCACACTGGGGACCCATCGGGAGCTGCATAAATCCCGGCCCCTCAGCCACAAGGCCTGGCCGAGCTGGCATTCCTGCCAGCAGCTTCCTGCCTCCCTCCCCAGGGAGCAGACCCCAGTGCGTGGAGCCAGAGGCAGGCCTGTTGCTGATGGCCATGGTCTCCTGGGTGGGGTTTTTTTTTTTTTTTTTGCTTTCACTCCTATCTTTTCCCTTCTCATCTTCTGTCCCACCCACTCCCCTGCAGCCTGGGAGCAGCAGGGATGTCATCAGCAAACTAAGGAATGGTAGGCTCTTCCACTCCCTAAGCTCTAGGGTTTCTGAATCTTCTGAAATGGCAAAGGAGTTGAGGCCTAAGGGCCTCTGGGTTGCTGTAGGCCCCTTTCACTTTCCATTTCCTGCTTCTTAGATGTGGAGGCTAGAGTGAGTCGTTCATCTGGCCCAGGAAGGTACAGCAGGCACCTCAGTCGTCCTGTGGCTAACACTCCTGGTCATGGTACTGGTGCCCACAGGGCCTCCCTTGTTGCCCCATCACCCCCCACCCCAGTTGCCAAGCCCCTCCCCACACCACCTGGTGCTCTGGGGAGCTGGAAGAGGAGTGTGGAGGGAGGAAGGGACATGGTTAGAGACAGTTGTTGCTGGGAGTCGGAGTTTAACCTTATCTAAAGTGGCGCCAGAGCTGAACTGGTGGGGGGCTGACTCAGAGGGGGATGGAGGAGCTGTTTTGTCTGGGAGAGGCCAGTGGCCCTGCCCTGTCATTTGCTGTGTGCCTTAAACCTTATCTCCTGCCTCCCCAGTCTCCAGCTTCCCTCCTACTGTGCCCATCCTGGGGCCTGGCCAGGCACCTCCTCTGGCTCTTAAGACCTTTCTGCTGGTGCTGTCAGTGTCCCCTGGAAAGGGCAGATGTTCCTGAGAGGCCCAGCAGGCAGGATAGGGGCTTAGCTACAGAGGTGCTCCTGAGGCTGAGCAGCACAGGCGCTTTCTTCTACTCAAAGTGTCTTTGGAAGCAGGTACTTCTCCATCCTCCTCCTCAAAAACCATCCTCCCTGCTGAGGTTGACAATCTGGGGCAAGGTTTGCAGAGCTGTTCAGCAAACAGGTGCCCACTGGAACCTCCTGAGGCCTGCCTGGCCCTGGAGGGGCACCCCTCCCTGCCCGGGCTTGTTTTGCATCACAAGCCCTTACTTCTACTGGGCATGTGAACCCCAGGCGAATGATCCCCAGGATCTAACTGTGCTTACTCAGCCTGGTTTCAAAAGAACAAAGGAAGAAGGTAGAAAACAACATACATTGATTATTTAGATTTTTTAAACTACTATGTCACTCTGAGTCCTTCATGAGTCTTCAGCAGCATTTATCAAGAAGAAAATCAGGGCTGCTTTTTCCTCTTTTCTGTTTGTCCTGTACATACATAGAGGGAGGACACCCTCTGTCAGCAGCCCTGCCGGCAGCAGGGACCTGCCACCTCATTATTTAAGGCGCGCGTGTGTAGCCGCTGGTTATTAACAGTGTTGTGTGTGTGGGTTGGGTTTTTAGTTTGTTCCCCTTCTTTAAGCCCCTTCATTGCATCTTTGCCCCTCTGCTCCCTCCCTCGCCCAGTTCTACTGAATGCTGCTTTGCGTGAGGGCCGCTGTGCACACTGGCCCTGGGGTTGTGTGAACTGAAATTCTTCCCATACCATGAGAGCCCCACAGAGTCCCCTCTGTGGCACGAACCAGAAACCCAGCCTGCGCCCCCAGCAGCAGGAGCGGACCTGTGTCTGGGTCAGTGGCTCCCCCCCTCTTGTTTTCAGGCATGAGCTGGGCAAAGGGATGGGGGCTCCCTTCACCTTCCCTGAATTCGGAATAGAACCCCGTGCCCATCCCCAGAGTGCCCAAGCATCTTCCTGGGATCCTGGGGGTATGAGCAGAAGGGTCCAGGCAGCAGGTGGACAGTGCCAGGTGACCCCTTGAGTGAGGATGGTGAGGTACAATGTGTGTCTTTAACTTATTGGCTGATGGGGGTCCCCCCAGCTCTGGTCACTGCAAGTCTTGCGCTCAGAGCTGCAAGCTGGCTGTAACTTTGGCCTGCTGCCAGGGGCTGAGGGGGGTGGTCGTGGGAGTCCTCTTCAGACAGGTGGAGGATTCAGTCCAGTTCTCACCCACAGTAAGGGTGGAGCCAGGCAGGGGGCAGGCACGTGCTGACTGCCCACGACACAGCGTCCCATTGTAATATATCCCCAACTAACCAAGCCAATGGTAGCATCTTCCTGCAGACATTTCAAATGTGTAACTTTTATACGGAAAAAAATAAAACAGATGAAAGCTGTCTGAGGCTGGGTCTGTACTGCATGCTGCGTGTGCTAGTGAGGTGAGGGCTGTTTCCGACTGGCCCTGTGCCCCTTCTCAGGGACCCTCTCACAGGCAGGCCTCAGGGCAGAGGAGGGTCATTTGTTTCAGTCCCCAGAGCTGCTGCTGCTGCTGGGGTAGTTCTGCCTGAGTGGAATAAACGTTACTACATCAGCTCCTCTCTAGAACTTTCTCTCACAGGTCTCTTGCGCCAGAAGCATTCAAATGGACTAGAACCACATGTGCCCTAGAAGTGAGTTCATACACAGGAGCACCAGGGCCTGGAGCTGCCACTCACTACCTAGCCGCACAGTCTCTAAAGTGTGTCCCCTCCCACCCACCAGGCCGTGCTCAGAGGCTCAGCCCCAGCAGAGGCTCTGCACATGTACAGGCTGAGTGAGGAGGCCCCGAGGATCTCTGCCCTGGGTCAGGCTGTGTCCCTTCCTTACCCTTGCTGCATGGTTCTCCCAGAGCCATTTCACTTGCCAGTCAACCCACCTGTGCCCCTAGCTTTTCCTGGCACCTTTACTGCAGTGAGACCAACCACCCAGGGGATGACAGGAGGCCAGGGCAAACCCTGTGTTTGCCCTGGTTCCCTGTCCCTGTAGGAGGTGCGCATGGGCAGCCTGGGAAAGCTGAGGGTACCTCTGTACATGGCGGGTACAGAGACCCACAGAGATCAGAACCTGGCTGAGAAAAGGGGCGTCTCCCTTAGGCTCTACCTCAGACAGTCTTCCCTCACCCCGAAAGGCAGCTGCTCAAGCTTGTCCCTTTAAAGGAAGGGGACAACTATTTCTGGACTGAGCACAGTGATGGTCTGGCAGAGACACCTCCACTCCAGGCAAGCCCTCTGTTCTTCCAGCTGTTGGCTAAGCACCTGGACAGTGGTTCTCAACCTTCATAATGCCACAGCCCTTTAATACAGTTCCTGTGGGTCGTGGTTGAGAACCACTTACCTAGTACGAGCCAGCCGTTGTCAGGAACTTTACATTAACAAGGGCCTGAGGCTTATCCCTCAACTACTCGTCCTCCGCTTCCCCTTTGCTGTTGTCCAGTTAGATTTATGAGCACAGTGAGGCCCAAGGACAGACCAGTCTTCTGAGACCTCCGCTGCCAATACCCTTGCCTGCCAACAGTGCCAGGAGCCTGGTTTGGCCCCCAAAACCCCTGGTGAAGGGAGTGACAGTCCAGGCATGGACCTCAGGCCTGAGCCTTCCCATCAGAGCTGTAGGGAAGCTTCTGTGGGCCACCCTGGTCTTTGGTGACTGGGGTGGGGGGGCCACAGGGCTCACCAAGGGAGCAGCTATGGTCCTGGAGTAAACACCTGAGCTGGGCGGAGCCTGTGGCTCTATGGGTAGGGCGCCGGCCCCATATACCAATGGTGGCAGGTTCAAACCTGGCCCTGGCCAAACTGCAGCAACAACAACAACAAAAAAAACACCTAAGCTGGCTCGCGCCTGTGGCTCAAACGGCTAAGACGCCAGCCATATACACCTGAGCTGGTGGGTTCGAATCCAGCCCAGGCCCACCAAACAACAATGATGGCTGCAACCAAAAAATAGCCGGGCGTTGTGGCGGGTGCCTGTGGTCCCAGCTACTTGGGAGGTGGAGGCAGGAGAATCGCTTGAGCCCAGGACTTGGAGGTTGCTGTGAGCTATGATGCCGCAGCACTCTACCCAGGGCAACAGCTTGAGCCTCTACCTCAAAAAAAAAAAAACCACCTGAGCTGCATCCCACCAGGATCTGGGGTGTGATGCTTAGCCAGCAATCCAGGGTGCTCAGGCACTTGCTCTAGCCAAAACAGAACAGCCCCACCAGGAGAACCGGGCCAGGACCCCACACTTCCCCAAGAGGCCCGCTGCATTCAGACCTCTAGATTAGTGATTTGGGTGCTGGCTCTGCTGGTGCAAAGCTGGACTTCTGGGATACAATGGCTGCCTGGTGTTACCCCCAGTCGGGTGAGAGGCTCCAGCCTTCATTCAGACCATCCCCTCATTCACTCATTCATTTACGGGGGTACATTATTGAGGAGCCAGGCAGGGCTGGGCCTGGGCTATGAGTCTGGAATTTGTTGGCAACAAGCTACAAAGAGGAGTGGCGCCTGTGGCTCAGTGGGTAGGGCACCGGCCCTATAGACCAAGGGTGGCAGGTTCAAACCCAGCCCCGGCCAAACTGCAACAAAAAAAAAGTGGGGCATTGTGGCAAGCACCTATAGTCCCAGCTACTCGGGAGGCTGAGGCAAGAGAATCACCTAAGCCCAGGAGTTGGAGGTTGCTGTGAGCAGTGTGACACCACAGCACTCTACCAAGGGTGACAAAGTGAGACTCTGTCTCTACAAAAAAAAAAAAAAAAAAGTTACAAAGGGTTCATATCCTGACTCTGTGGCCAGTAGGGCAGAGGACCTTGGGTATGCGGTTTTCTGTACTCGCCAGGTTCCCAGCTGGAAGTGGGGGCAATACAGTCTCTGCCTCGTAAGTTCTTGTGAGATTTAAATGAGTTCATACCTGGAACAAGGTCGCAAGAGCATTTTGTGGACACCAAGCACTTTGCAGACTACTCTGCCTCACTCGGCTTCTAATCTGAAAACAAACCAAAGAACATTCCAGCCATGATGAGGGAAGGCTGCAGAGAAGTGGCACCTGACACTGAAGAAATTAAATACGACTCAAAGTCCACCCGTAAACATCAGGGCCACGCAGTCACTTGTACAAAGCAGGTAATTTTAATCCTACATAGATTCCCCTGGAGAGGAGAAATAGGACAACACTACTTAACTCATTTTATGAAGGGAATATAACAACATCAAACACAGACAAGGATGGTACATAATAATTATAAGTCAGTCTAGTTTACGAATAGGCAAAATTTGCAAGGTCATCTTAGCAACCCCAGGGCAGCAATACATAAAATCCGTACTTCCTGGAGGTACTTCCTGGAGTACTTCATGGACTTATCTGGAGGATACAGGATGGAGGGTCTCAGTTAAGTTATAGGTGTCATTTACTCCCATACTAAGCCCTACTCCAGGGCATGGCTGGTTTCCTCCTTCCCAAGCATGTGAGAAACTACGCTTCCCGTCCCCTTGCATGAGAGTTGAAGGGCAGAGACACATGTCGCTACAGGATGGGCATTTACGAGCCACAGCGCCGCCTCCTCTCTCTTTCCCACCCACAGCACACTTGGAATCCTGGGCCGGGACGGCAGAGTGCCACATGGAGGAAGCCCAGGGAGGGCTCTGCCCATGCTGGACTTTGCATGAATGAAAAATGAAGCCATTGGCTC